GTATTTGAAATGGGAAAACTAATTAGAGAAATATTGGGAAGGCGGTGGATGGTGGACGGTTGGCGGTGGGCGTGGAGGTGGTACACTTCGCTGGACAATTTCAACGCTCCTCAAATTGGCAACTAAGTAAACTTGAAAGCTGACGGAGCTGGTCCATCCAGTCAGGTCTACACGCCCACTTTTCAGGGGGACTATTTGTTGTTGTGACTGCTTCGTTATGCAAATTTCTCACAGAGCAAAAAAAAAAAAACAAAACCATCGTGAAAACAAAAGACAGAAATGAAAATTGTGAGTTATATAGTAAATATATAAAGCAAATGCAAATTGTATATAAAGAAATGCCAGAAAAGACAAATAACATGGTGGAACGACAACAAATTTAAACGACGGATTTCTTCAGCTTCCATCTTTGTTTTTTCCCCCTTCTGTGGAATAAATAATAAACGTAAACGAATTAAAAATGCTGGCCGAAAAACGAGAGGAAGGACCTCGAACTGAAGCTGTCCCTTCGATATTTTCGTGGTTGCTGGTGGGCAGGGTGAAAGCATCAAAGTTCTCCTCTGATTTGGCTTTGGTTTTTGTTTACTTAAACCAAGTTTATGCGGCTTTCAATTAGTTTTAATTGAAATTCCCATTGGCCAAGAAAAAGCAATTGGACTTTTGCGTTTAATCAAAGTTTTTCCAAGCAACGTTGATTGCGATTGAGTTGGCAAGAGTTAAGATGGAGTGATTAAGCACTTTATTTTTATACCCTTGCAGAGGGTATTATAATTTTGGTCAAAAGTGTGCAACGCAGTGAAGGAGACATCTCCGACCCTATAAAGTATATATATTCTTGATCAGGATCACCTCCTGAGTTGATATAGCCATGTCCGTCTGTCCGTCTGTCCGTCTGTCCGTCTGTCCGTCTGTCCGTCTGTCCGTCTGTCTGTCCGTCTGTCTGTTTCTACGCGAACTAGTCTCTCAGTTTTAAAGATATCAAATTGAAACTTTGCACACACCCTTCTTTCCTTTGCACGCAGTATATAAGTCGGAACGGCCGGGATTGGACGACTATATCCTATAGCTGTCATATAACTGAACGATCGGAATTGCCATAACTTTGGTGTTTGTAAAGTTAGGAAGTTGAGATTTTCTATAGGTTTTATTTTTGGCCAATCAATCTGACCTACCGAATTTCTAAGAATCGGCCGACTATATCTTTAGCTGCCATATAACTGAACGATCGGAAATGCCATAACTTTGGTGTTTGTTAAGTTGGAAGTTGGGATTTTCTATGGGTTTTATTTTTTCAATCAATCCGACCTATCATTTCTAGGATCGGCCGACTTATCCTTAGCTGCCATATAACTGAACGATTGGAAATGCCATAACTTTGGTGTTTTTAAAGCTAGGAAGTTGGGATTTTTGATGAGTATTAAGAATGCATCATATGAATAATTTTGGAGAATATAATTTACAGAGTATTCTGCAAGGGTATATCAACTTCGGCTCCGCCCGAAGTTAGCTTTCCTTTCTTGTTAAAATATAATTTTTGAATTTTGGAGAAATTATATTTATATTTCTTTATTTATTGTTTAATAAGTTGTAAAATCATGATTTTTTGCAACTTAATTTAATAAATCTTTTTAAATCAAGGAATCGATTTCGTTTGGATTGAAACTTATAGGACAAGATATCATACTTACTATCTACATAAGAACATATGTATCATATGTCTTTATTTCGATTAATTTCTATTATCAAAATTATTAGTTAATAATAATTATCCATAAATTTTCATTATATTATCTTATCTTATTCAAAAAAAGTTGTCTGTCGATTTTTTTAAAATTTATATTAAGTTATTCCAGCTTATCAATAAAACTGGTTGCAATTTTGGGCAATAGCTGGCTAGAGTAATTGTCCCCCTCCAGTTGGCATTAAGAGAACATTTTATTCAATTGCGGCCAGCGGAGAAAAACAAATAAAATTTATTTTCCCCCTTTTGCTGGTCACATTTGGGAGAGAGCATAAAATAAAATGAAATGAAAGCAAACGGAGAGCCCTTGGCTACTTTCCTCTAAAAAAAAAAGTGGGCGGCGCCAATCCATGTGTGGTTGCCAAAGGATACGTATTCCGGGGAAGCGGAGTGGGATGGTATAACGTTTTTGGCTCAATAGATACATGGTCATGGGGTTCGGGGCCATTTGATGATTTTTGCGTCACCGTTGGTCAAAATCATTTCGAGCGCAAGCAACTGGAAACTGTATAAAAATAATGAAAAAGGGAGCGAGAAGAACGCAGCGTGGCAACGAAGGCAACTTGAAATAAATGGTCAAAAGAAATAAACAATCCCATAAAGAATAATCATTCAGAATTCTGCTGAATTATGCATGAGGCAGACGGTCCGTGGTCCATGGTCCATGGACCATGCTCTCCTTGGTCCATAGTCCGTCGTCCAGGAGCAGAAAACTGGACGCCACTCCAGAGGCGAAAGGCAGTCCAAGGAGCAGCAGGGGGTGTGGCACTCGCATATGCGAAAAGCCCCTCCTGAAAACCCCAACCCAAACCACACCCCAACCCACTCGCCGAAGCATCATTTTCCTCTTTATTATCTGTTTGCTTAGCTGTGAGTGTGTGCTGGATTTTTATCAGCCTTCTAAGCAGTTAGCTAGTTGCACAGAGAAAAGTTTATGATAAAAGTTATACGAAACAAAAATAGGCAACTATATATTTTATATTTCTGTTTACCCATACTATATTGGCTCATACTGCAATTTTAAAACTCTGAATTGTAAAAACAATCTCCAGAAAATTAAAACTATTTTTACGGGGTTGAAAAGGTATTAATTTATTTCATTTGTAAACGCATTTTGGCACTTAAATATAACACGCATATTTCACGATATTTTGAAAACAATAATTTTCGATATAATTTATATTTAACACAAATTAAATTCTTAAATTATATTAACATAACATAATTATTAACAAGATATGTTTGCCTAAGCCTCGTATGTAATTCTCTTTAAATGCACAAAATAACATTTAATAAAACTTTTCATAGTTTTGAAAGGAATTATTATTTTTTTATTTATAGATAATATTCTTGCAGGCAACTTAATTTAATTTCTTAATTTTTTTCAGTGTATATGCCGAGTTCCACTTCTATTTTTTCGGAGGAGGTGCAGAGTGAGCGGAGATGGCGCTAGGAGTGTCCCGCGGAGCTCTTCGGCCTGCTCGGTGGCGCTTGGCCAAAAGTCAACCAACATTCGCATAATTTTCGATAAAGCTTTTCGCCAAATGAAATTCAAGTGGTTACACATGTCTCACAGCCACCCAATCCAGCGATTTTCGGTTTGGTCATTTTTCTTGGACACCATCCCCAGCAATCTCACCCCATTTTATTCCATAAGCCCCACTTCTTTCCAAGTCATGCTCATTTCCACATTATATGCCGCATCTGATTATCTCCGTTCTGTTGTTTGTTTGCTTAGTTGCTTTTGTATATTTCGTTTGTTTGTTTGTTGTTTTTGCCGAAAATGCTGATAATAAAAGGTAATGATGGGGGGCTACCACCTATATGCGTTATCTCTTTGTTAAAGGGCAGCTATGACTCGTCCGAATTGGAAATGGAAACTTTAAATTTTGATAAAGCAATAGTCATGGGGATGCTGACTGTGATTATTTCAAGATTACTCTAAATGAATTAACAAATTAGGCATTATTATATTAATATTATTATATTATTACGTTATTAAACCTAAACCTACAAAATTTGGATATTGCTATCATTAAAAAATAATATATAGCTTAATCATTATTAAATGTTTATTAGAACTTGAGGTATCTTAACTTTAAATAATTGAAGTGCCAAAAAAATTAAAAATAACTTACTCACTTCAACCCCTTTTTAATAATAAACTATATTTTCTATTTTGCACTAAGAAACTCTGTAATTAATTATTTAAAATATTTATTCCAACTGCCAGACGAGTGGTAATAAAAACATTTTAGGTCGCGTCGACCTTATACAACACATTCATAAATACGGCGGTGTTTTGTCTGAACCCCTCAGTTCGGCTCAGCACTTATTCGAATCGGTTTTGTAGACCCCAGTTATCAGGTAGACAACCGCATTAGACGATTATGCCTGCGGTCGCTTCTATTGCATCAGATGAGGTGCGAAATGGCAATCGAAGTGCCAATCGGAAGTTAGATCAGTGTAAAATCGTATTGCAGTTGATCACATGGCTCAGCTTTTCCGAACCCTATAAACAAGTGTTTTCTAAATAATAGATGGACAGGCCGGCTATAATTAGAACAAGTGATTAGTTGGCGACTGGAGCGGAATTTGTTTATTGTTTACGATCGGCAATCGTGTGATCGCGAACGGATCGATCAACCCTCGGCGATTGTGCTCCACTGGGGGCCTGCAAATTGCCGTATTTTCGCGATAGCACAGCCCATTTAACTTGCAAAAGAAAAACATAATTTAATCTGTTATTGTTTACGCCGAATGTGTAAGGAAAACACTTCTAAAATACGTCAATGGACGCATTTTCCTTCAAGTCGACTCAGATAAGCAAAACAGTGTCAACATAGGAGAAGACGGGGCTATTTTAAAAAAACCCTACATTATGCATTTTTTGCTGACACTGTCTCCAAGGGGGGGCCTTAAAAAATAATTAAACTTTGATCTTGAAATGCATGTGCAAGCACATCAACTGATAGCAAATGTCGGGTCCGATTAAAGGCGCACATGATTTGAGATCAATGTCGAAGGGGGATGCGTGATTTGAAGACTAGACGGATCTAATGCGGTCATTGAATCTTCGCAATGATCAAAGCCAAACGTGAGAACGAAATTTATCGTTTATTCGGCATATTTGGCATAAATCGAGGGGGTATCAAATTCTGCCCGGCATGCGGTTGTGGAACCTTCCGCTCCAATCCGCTACGTCGCCGAGATTGCATTCCCAGCTCAACTGATAAGTACGAGTATATCAGCTGCCTGCCATATATGTATCGCCGATGATGATGATGATCGGAGGTTTAATTAGGCGCGGCTGTAACATGAACATTCATAATTCCGCTGGCATTCAATCAATGCAGACGTGAACAATTCCAGTGATCAAGTGATCGACTTAACCATCGATCTCGTGCAAAGTGTACAGTGTCTCAATCCCACTCAATACAGTTCCCACAAAAGGTGCGAAACAAGAAAATCGATACTCAAAACATAAACGTAATAGAAATTCAAGGAAACCATGGCGCAAAGCGATTCGGAAAATTGCTGTGCCAAGCTCGCTAATGGTAAGAAAAAAATGTTATTTATTTAGTGATTAAATTTATAAAATACGGATTCCCTGCCATAGATGAGTTGTGCTGCCAAAAGTCAAAAAACGGAGTCTTAAAGGCTATATCCCCAAAAATGTTTCCCGACAAAATCTACAAGTCAGTTCAGCCAAAAGGAGAAGATGCTACGGGAATGACCTGCGAATGTGGAGTTTTTGGAGCCATCGCATGCGGAGATTATCCAACTCAGGTGGGCATAAAATATATTTTTGAAATTTAATCCAGAAAATTACTAGAAAAAGGGCTTTAAAGTTCTGATTTACTGATATCCAAGAGAGCCAAAAAATAGAGAAGAAAAATTGTATAATAGATCAACTTAATTTAATATTTCGACTAAAAGTAAAGTCATACAAATATCTAATTGGAAAAACGTTGATTGAAAATGAAATTTGTGATAGAAAATGTTGTATTAAACGTTCTTATAATTTTACATATATTTGAAATATTTATTATTATTTTTCTTTTAACTATAAGGAGAAAATTTGCTCGACTTAGCGAAGATTCATTTAAATTTTAAACAACGATTGTGCAAGATTTTAATGTTTTACCAAGTATGGGGATTTTTTTGTACTTTCGTATTTATTTTTCAAAAAAATAATATAAAATCTCAAAACTTGTGTATAGCAACAAATATTTGAAATAATAATATATTTGGCATTACGCCTTAGTTCATAATCTTTTAAAGTAATTCCGATCTATTTAAGAAAGATTACCTGGAGAAGATCACAACTGATTGTGACCAGCAAACAAATAACAAATAATAAATAATACTAGCAAAACCTTAGATAACCGAGTCTATAGTCTACGATCCCCGTCTTTGTTTAAAACCCCGAGAAATGTCGATCACGCGAGATCAGAAAAAGATCATTGAGCCTGTCAAACAAGCGGATCACTCGGCCAGCAAAATTCTATGCTGCATGGTCGTACGTCAGATGCAAATCACTGGCAAGTGGGTCAATGGTAAACCTCGTCCCACAGATCCACCAGATCCACCCCCTGCTGATTTTTGAATGGTTCTGGGTCTGTGGCCAATGCCCAGAAGCTGTGGTGACGTCAATGAGATGAAACTGAATCCATACGGTCGTTTTGCGGTTGTAATCTCTGTTGTTGATGTTCTTATTGCCGACTGTAATGAAATGGAAAATAACAGAAAGTGCTAGCGCATTCTCAGTTGAAACCGACATACCGTTATCGCTGGTTCTTATAATGTGTCAAAAATATAATTCTTATTTTAGAATATTTTGCTTTTAAAAAACAAATATTAAGATATGGTGTTTTTAAAAAAAATTATTAAAATTATTTAGATAATGCAAAAAAGTGGAAAGTTTTATTTTTTTTAAAGAAATTCTTAAAAATGCATAATCATAATAATCTATATAAAAGCTAAGATTGGAAAAGGTACTTTTGTAAATAAGAATGTAATGCTGATCTAGGGATTACTTAATTTGCTTTGAATTTTGGTTATCTTAAATAATTTGTGTTTAAACGTTTACATACTAATTACATTTTAAATTTGAACTCATTGTGTTTAAACGTTTACATACTAATTTAATTTTAAATTTGAAATCATTGATAATAAAATTTGTGGACGGAAATTGAGGCAAATAAAATTCTTTGTCTTGTCAAAAGTATGTTACGCTGAATTTAATCTGCTAAGTAAGCCCCCTTGGTTGATATTCTCTTTTTGTTTATATTAACACATTTAGTTCTACAGTTCGCATAGCGGTATGAAATAAAAAGCAAATAATTTAATCTGATTTTACTGCTTACAGCTGGACATAGCCCAGATGATCTGCCTGGGTCTGGTTGCACTGCAGCATCGAGGACAGGAGTCGGCGGGTATAGTGACCAGCCTGGGCAAGTGCTCCAAGAACTTCAGCGTGCACAAGGGCATGGGGATGATCAACAATCTGTTCAATGACGAGGCCATCAGGAAGTTAAAGGGCAACCTGGGAATAGGCCACACCCGCTATTCCACCGCAGCAGCCTCGGAGGTCGTGAATTGTCAGCCATTTGTGGTGCACACTGCCCATGGAGCTCTGGCCATTGCTCACAATGGAGAGCTGGTGAACTGCGAGTCCTTGAGGAGGGAGGTCCTGGAGCGGGGAGTGGGTCTGTCCACGCACAGTGACAGTGAGCTGATTGCCCAATCCCTGTGCTGTGCTCCCGAGGATGTTTCCGAGCACGATGGACCCAATTGGCCGGCCAGGATTCGTCACTTTATGACCCTTGCTCCACTTTCCTATTCCCTGGTCGTTATGCACAAGGACAAGATCTATGCCGTCCGAGATTCCTATGGAAACAGACCATTGTGTTTGGGAAAGATCGTACCGGTGGATGCGGGACATGCGAATATCAATGACCAACTGGCCGAAGGTTGGGTGGTCAGTAGCGAGAGTTGCGGATTCCTCTCCATCGGAGCCAGATATGTACGTGAAGTGGAGCCGGGCGAGATCATCGAGCTGTCGAGGAATGGCTATAGAACCGTAGATATCGTCGAGCGACCGGACTACAAACGCATGGCATTCTGCATCTTCGAGTACGTGTACTTCGCCCGCAGCGATTCCATGTTCGAGGGTCAGATGGTTTACTCCGCCCGCCTGCAATGTGGTCGTCAGTTGGCCAGGGAGTTCCCACTAGATGCGGATTTGGTCAGTTCGGTTCCGGAATCTGGCACCGCTGCGGCTCATGGCTATGCCAGGGAATCCGGATTGCCATTTGGAGAGGTTCTCTGCAAGAATCGCTACGTGGGCCGCACTTTCATCCAACCCTCCACAAGATTGCGCCAGTTGGGAGTGGCGAAGAAGTTTGGTGCCCTGGCTCAAAATGTTGAGGGCAAGAGGATCGTACTGGTTGATGATTCCATAGTAAGAGGAAACACCATTGGACCGATCATCAAGCTCCTGCGAGATGCCGGAGCCACCGAAGTGCACATCCGGATTGCCAGTCCTCCGCTGCAATATCCCTGCTACATGGGCATCAATATTCCCACTCGAGAGGAGCTCATAGCCAACAAGTTGAACGCGGATCAGTTGGCCGATCATGTGGGAGCGGACAGTCTGGCCTACTTGAGTGTGGAGGGACTGGTGAAGGCCGTCCAGATGAACAAGGCCCATGTGAATCCGCTGAAGGCCGGCTACTGCACCGCCTGTCTAACAGGCGAGTATCCTGGCGGATTGCCCGAGGAGCTCAGCTGGTAGGATCTCAGCATTTAATACTCTGTTAGAATTAATGTAGCTCTTAGATTCAGTGTATATATAAATATAAATTTTAATTTGGGGTCTTTGACCTAACACAAAAATCCGTTGTTTTCAATTCAAGTGTCAGTAGGTTATGTTTGTGGAGATAACAAAAAGTACGCCAGACAAATCGTATTTGGAAGCTCCAGCAAGCTCAAGAACAAGCATATTTAAAATCTAAAAATTATGCATAGATATTTAAAACCTTATTCATCAAAAATTTCATTTAAATTTAAAAATCTTCAATGATTATCTATTCAATTCTTAGCTTGAATATTCAGCTAAGAGACTGTTGATATTTTTTTAATTTCCTTACTGAAAACTAAGTAATTCTTGACTTTCAATGGCTTTCCCACAGGGGACGAACACATACTCTAAATGCTAATGGGCCACATCAACGTCTGATTATTTCCAAGACTGTCGAATACCATAACTTCAATTCATTTCAATTTATATTTCCAAGCTTTGTTTGCCGAGGGGCAGGGAAATGGAGGGAGGAAGGGGAGAGAAAAGAGGAAGTAGAGTCGCCCGCTTCCGGTTATAGCCAAGCTCAGATATAGCCTCATATCATACAATATGGTAATCGTGTTTGCTTTTTTCGCCCTGTCTCTTTCCGGCTGTGTCCTGCCCCCATGTCCTTGTATTCCTCTCTCTCTCGGAGTCTCCCATTGGGGCGTTGCAATGTCTAAAGCGGGGCGTTTAGGGCGTTTAATCCTGCGGAAGATGTCCTTGCGGTTATGCAGAGGGGTATCCGTGTTCCGTACCCTCTGTTCTTGCTTCTCTCATCGTATATAACTTTTTTTCTTTTTTTATGACTCGCGCCGGGTACTGGAGTCAACAATGTCATCATTATTCTTGAATATTGTGTTGTATTTTCGCAAACAATTTCGCTAAGCTGCGCGGCATTGGCAAAGCCGGAAAAGGGGGTGGCGGATTTGGGGGTGGGAGTGGGTGTCCTGGGCTGAAGTGTGGCGAGGACATAAGAGAAGAAAATAATATGCACTGTCATTGTAACTCGCTTGATTAATTCTTGTGCAGGGTATTCATTGCTTGGAGTTTAGTTCGGTGGGTCCTGGAGAAAGCAGAATAAATATATAAATTTATATTACTAGTTTTTAAATTAATCTTACAGATATTAAATAATTTTATCTTATTTTCTATACAAACGATTTAGTATACATTTTTAAATAAGTTATATTCAAACAACTATTATTAAAAATTCTGGAAAATAATTACTTTTGAAAAGTATCCTAAAACTCAATTAAAATTTTATAATATATATATTGTAATTTTAAACAACTTGCAATGTCCTTACAATTAAGAATAGTCCGTACATTATAGTTTCCATTCCCTTTTTTGTTATCCCCCAAATTTATAGAACATTTTATTACTTTTATTTTTTTGCTATCTCTCACAAGTGGTAGAGCATTTTCTTCGTCCTGTCAGCTTCCTTTTTACGGCGGATCTCCTTCACCACTCCATCTGAGCTCTCACCAAGTGGCTACATAAAAGAAACGACTTCTGGCAACATTGAAAACAGACGCTGGCACTTCTCTCCAACACACCAGCGCCGTTTGCTGCTACAAGGATACGAAAGAAGGACCAGGATACCCACGGAAAAAAATATATAAAGAGAAACGTTTGCTTATGTGCGCCGTCGATCACAAACACAAACATCCTGGGCCCACTGCCGCAGACAGTGACAACTAAGCAGGGCCATATTGCCAGGACCCAGATACTCCCCCTGAAACCCCTGAAAACCCCGGAGAAGACCCCTGAAACCCCCCCAGCACCACCCATTCTGCGCCGCAAAACATGCTTTAAATTTTTTAATAACGCCGGGCTACAAGAGCGCTGACGCCCACGTCCGGACTTGGGATCCGGCTTTCGTGCCCGATGACGACAGCCGACCCCGCCCCTAAGACACACCGCCCACCGCCCCATCCGCCCACCGTCGTCATTTGCACAGAAGTTATGTAAATTAATGTTTACTTAAGTTCCCCATGTTATTTCTTCTTCGCATTCTTTTTTTTCGCCTTGCACTTTCACAATGTTTCCTACTTCAAAAACAAAAGCAGACAGTGGGTCTAAAAATGATGAGGGAAGGAGATTGAAGGTTCGTAGGAAAAAAATTGCAATAAATTTGGCAGCCGTTTCTGCAATTTAATAAAAAGCTTTCGGGGGGAGAAATGGGGAAAGTCATCTCTCTAGTATAAACAATCAAGCTTATTATTGAGCCAAATGGCTGAGTAAATATATGACGTAAAATTATGGCAATGGCATGCAAATGAAATGGCCGGAGATGAAGATTATGAAGCCATTATCCAAACACTTCATGGAAATTGTCGCCGCAGAAATTTAATTTAAACATCAGCGCCGGAGGCATCGAAGCCATATCCTTCTGCCACTCGACACATGCAACAAGTGAGTGGCAAGGAGCAAAGGCAAGCCACACGAACCGTCAAAAGGCAAACAAAAAAGGACTCCTTGCCAGCTCGATGTCCTTCGCATTTCCCACTTTTCCTTCACTCGATAGGCACGCAAAACGTGCCCGGCATGCAAGACATGCGATGGCCAAAACGACACCGAATCAAATGTAATTTTCTGGCCAATAGAACACTTTGTGGGCTCCCTGGATGGCAAAGGCTAGCCGGAACATCCTTTCTTCAGTTCATTAGCAAATCAAACTTCCGTCTTTAACCTCAAGACATCTCTGGCATGTGTCCGACGCAAAAAGGCACGAAATTCCTGTTCACTAAAAATTTGCATTCCTTCAACCCTTGATCCGACGGACTAGAAAACTGCTTGTCAGCTGGTAATTTGATTTAAAGCCTTGGGCTTGACCAGATAGCCGCAAAAAGGTAAAATGTAACATATTGCCAAGTAATTATTTAGAGAAATAAAAGTTTAGTTTTTGGCTTGCATTTGATCTATTTATAATTAAAACTAATATATTTTAAACAGTTTTACGAATGACTTAAAAATGTAAACATATAGTTTAAAAGATATATTTAGCAAAATGGTTAATCAACTTTGAATAGTGAACTGTGAATCAAAGCCTGTTTACGATTTGAAGGAAAATTTCGATATCTTGAATCACGGTCCTTCCTCAATAAAATATTTCTACAAAATCTGGCAATAATTTATAAAAAACAAACCACGGCTGAATTCAATGTCCTTTTAAAGTCGTAAATAAATTCCCAGCTAATTTTCCATTCCCAAAATGGAATCTAATCAAATGTCTGCCCTCCCATTTCCGTTCAGCTTAGCATCAAAAAGAATTTGCATAATATTTTTAGAACCAACTGAATAAAGTTTTGTGAGCGGACGAGCCAGACGACTCAACAACATTTCCACAACTTTGCGTTAATTTTCTAAATATTTTCTGAAATTTCCAAATTGCATTTGGAGCAGCAACGGACGGCGATGGAAATGAAGATGGAAATGCCGCAGGGCAATCCCAAGCCAGGTTGCCGTGCTCCGGCTCATTCAGCAAAAACACTGCCCCACCACCCACAACATCCAACGAACAAGTTGAATTTTATAATTTAAAATTATGAACTAATATAATTTAATTTTAGTGGCTTGCACGCAGAGCTCCAACGATATAGATGATGGAAAAGCGAGCGGGGGTTGGGATTTTCTGGGCGGACACAGGCAGGAAATTAAGTGCATTATACCTTTATATATATATAATGTTGGTTATTGTGCACAACAGCAAATACAACAAAAGCGCGTTGAGGTAATAAATATGTATGAAGCTTGTGTTTGTGCACCAAAGAATGCAATTTCCCTCGAAAGGGGGGGCCTGCATTTGACATCGCGTGCTTTGGCGCGATTTTCCCGCTGCATTGGCCAATTCTGAAGAGCCAGAAAAGATAATAACGATAATTAAGGCAAGCGGCAAACCAAATCTCTGATTTGAGTGACATGCAACAACAAAATAATTCACAGCCAGTGCGTCAGAGTGTGTGTGAACGGGAGTGTGAGTGTGTTTTGTGCCAGAATAAGGCCGCCATTTTGGGGGCTGTTACACTTCCGGCCATCATTGTCACATTGTGCGACAATGCATGATGGAAGCTGGCCGAGATTTGGATGCACTCCGCGGAATTTGGGTCTTCATTTGGCCAGTAAAACAATTAGAAAGATGTAGTAATTATACTAAAAAACGTTAATTACTTTTGCAATGAGCTGAAAAATGTTTAAAATTGCGACTCTCGGTAACAAAATAACAATTAACGTCAATTAAAAAGGTAAATAGTTGTGTAAAGAATTGTTTCATTTGTCATGAGATAATTATAATTATATACAATTTAAGAAAGACAAATGAACAACAAAGGGAAAGTCTAAATAGAAAATAAGGCCACAACTACTAAGTATCAACCAAGTTAATTTTTAAATAAATTAAGAATAGATAAATACAAATAAATAAAGTTTTGCAGGTTGTATATTAGATATTTGAAAATGAATTACAGAAAGCAGACTGTGTTAAGTTTTTTTGAAGAACTCTTTCTTTATTTAACCAATGATATGATACAATCCGCATATTTTAAAGATTTAATTCCATAATTACAAAGTTCTTAATTGATGCATTACACCTGTTTTCCCTCTCTGCATGGAATGTTCAATTGGCTGGATGGATTTTTCTAGTGATTGTTGGGGTGTAGGCAGGTAATATTTTTTATTTGTGCTGCTGTTGATATGGTGGGGCACAAAACTGAGCACCTGGGCGACTGACTGCATCTGTTGTGCTTCCCATTGCGTGTAAGTTCATTATGTTGCCAACAGTTGTTGTTGCTTTTGTTCATTGTGTGCCTGATACGCCCAACAACAACTGCGAAAACAATAAAAACAACAACCACACAAACAACAACAACATCCGCAGTTGTCTGGCCACCATTGCAAATTTCTACATGGCCGCTCAACTGAAAATTGTTTGTGCAGTTGTATTTTTTACACATTTTTTTTATTCACATTGTTGATGGTGTTGTTGTTTTTGGTTGCCTGTTGTAAATTGCAATTTCCCGTTGCTTTCGGCTCGCTGTTGCTGTTTCATTGTTGT